GTTTGTTCGGTAGTTTCACCACTCCAGGAGCAGTGAGCTGACAGATTATTTTGTCCCAAGCTCAGCGAGCTGCTGACCCACATCGGTGCTGATATCTCAAGCCAGAACACCAACTGCAGACGGTCGATTTCAGCTAAAAAAAAAAAAAAAAGCTCCTGTCCCGTCAGGTTCAGGAAACCTTCAGGAAACCGTCACGTGGAAAAATGATTCTCTCTGATTGGTTGCTGCTGCGCGTTGAGCAGCCAAAGTTCAATTTGTTGAACTCAAGCATCCGTTGCTTTTGGACGTACCGCGTGCACGGAAAATGCTCTGCCGCATCCTACCGCTATGTTGCGCGTTGCTCTAAACTGCCAAAATGCGCCGCAACACGCTGCGCCGCTCCTAGATGCGTGTCCACCACAGTCTCTGCATGTAAACTGGCTGCTTCGGCTGCTCAAAATGCATTTGGTGTGTACCCGACTTGAGAAAACTTGCTGTCATACAACTCAGTTAAATGAGACAATGGGCCTCATGCAAGAACTGTTCGTACGCACAGATTTGTTCTTAAGTTGTGCGTACGAGTGATTTAGGAGAATTTGTGGCATTCACCAATGTTTTCGTATTCTAAGATTTTTTTCAGATACGAACAAAATTCAGGAGTGGTCCAGACCTGTCGTATATTTTACGAGCAGTCAGTCTGCTGTTATCCAGACGGGTTTTCTTCACTAATAACTTTATATTTCATTAGTTTGAAGATATTTTGAGTTGAAAATAAATCACACTCCATAATTATGTTGACAATAGGCTATTCTGCTTGAATTAGAGTTATAATTTTAAATGTAATAATTTAGACTAACAATATAAATTGTCCGTCCGTTTTCTGCCGCTTATCCAGGATCGGGTGCGGGGGCAGCAGCAGAGAGACCCCGCTCTCCGCAGCGACACCTTCCAGCTCGTCCTGGGGGACTCTGAGACGTTCCCAGACCAGAGGGGATACATAATCCCTCCAGCAAGTCCTGGATTTTCTCCAAAGTGCCAGACTTATTTTGAAAACATTTTAAAATGCTCATTTCAGACCCGCATCTGAGACCACCTGCGACCGCACAGCGTGGGGGAGTGGGGTACGGTGCGCAACGGTGTGGCTTCTGAATAAATGAAAATGATTTAACACAGTTGTTTATACTTTTAGCAGCTCTTTTTATCCCACAGCTGACCTGCTAAAAATGACAGATTTTCTTTTCTGGATCTCTGACAGACAGACTTCAATCTCTGAACTCGGAAAGTTTTTATTTTTTTAGTTTTCACTGTCATTTTCATGAATGAATGAACACTTCCTTGTATCTGAGGCAGGAAACATAGCCTTATATGGTGCTTTTGGGGTGGTAATTATGCTAATCTCCTCTCGCGTGCACGAGCAGCTGGATRKRAMMRGKTGAATTTACGCAGCTCATTTACACACTTTTCCTGAAGATAGAAGAGTTTGTTGAATCTGACGTGACATGTTCGTACGAACCCTTTGTACGAACAAAAGTAAGAGAAATTTAGGATAAGAATACGAACATGTTCTTGCATGAGACCGAATGCACCTCCTGCAGGGTGAGATTAGTTTGCCTAAACTAAGACGGTTATTTACTGCAAACATCTACAACAATTTAGCTGTAAAGACTGACTGTATAGGGATCAGTGTTGGAAGCGTTTCTATTTGCAATGCTTCCATCAAGCCTTTCTGCCTTGCAAGGAAAGGAGCTCTCCTTGGACAGAAAACATATCCAGGTCTAAAAACTGATCCAGCTCTGTCTATCTTCATTTGTGAAGTGTAATCCAGTAGATTAAATCCTAAATGTGGGGGGCAGCTGCCAGGCAGGACACAGAATCAAACAAGGAAGGTAACAATTAGGGGCTATGCACACAAAAGACTTTGATTTACTAAAACTGGCCAAACAAAACACGACTCAATAGATGCTCAGTTCCAAACATTCTGAGACTGAAAAAAAAAAAAAAAAGTCTGGTTTCTCTCAGTTTTGAGTCAGCAAACAGAATAAGTGGGAATGTGTAAATTAAAAACCACACTGGACAGGACTGGAACCAAATTATTACCTAATTCCCATCATTCATGTCATAATAAAGATATAACAGAATTATTAATTGATGCAAAACTAGTTGTTCTAATTTGTCATAATTATTTTTTTTATCTACAACAAGGTTGTGCTTTCACCCCCCACCCCAGCACTTACAGTAGCCATGGCTTTGCCAGCTAATCTAACAGTTGCAACCCAATGAGAAAACTAGCTTTATGCTTTCATGTGTTTGGATTGATGACATTTAGGAGGCGGGGTCAGACTCTATGGAGGAGTGGATGTATATTGTTTCAATAATAGCCACAGACAGAAACAGTGAGAAATAATTCAACACATTAACCTGTTGTGAAAACAAATGCCTGCCCTTAAATCTATAATCTGTATGATTGATTGAGTTGTCAGTCTGTTCAATAGATTTTGTTGTGTAACTGGATCTAGGAGTGCAGAAAATTTGAATTTAGTCACCCCTGGTGCTGCAAAGATATCTTTATGTTCTATATGGGTCATATTTTTTAACCCCTTCAGTTTTCTCTATGTTCTCTGATGTTTTTTGAACGATTATGTCAAATTATTTGAGACAATAAGGACCGGACTTGCAGTTAACAAGTTGTGTTCTCTTAATTCCCCTCTGGGTTGGACTCAGGCTCCAACATAAGGCTGGATGGACAAGTCCTCCCATGACATCTTTTAATTCATGGGTAAATAAAACATTTCTGCACCTCTGGATAGTCATAACCCCCTCTTTCAGGCTCAAGTGAACTGGAGCGGGCCAGGGTGTCTTGTTTGGATTTAAAGGGACAGCATCAAAACGAGCTGCTCTGAGACGCATCTCAGACATAAAGATTTAGATCAAAACATTGCAGTTCTATTTTAAATAGAGCACAACTGAATGATTTAATTGTAAAGAATGATTCAATAGCTGAATTCTAACTCTTTGCAAAATTAGCATTAGCAGTTAACTTAAATTGGTACAAGCAATCATTCTTTGGCTACACCACAACCTCATTAAATCTTAATATGGCAGAATTGTAGTTATTTAAATTCAGCTGTGATGGCCGGTTTGGATTTTTCATTAGCAATCAGAATTTGTTATGCTATTGCACTCACACAAACTTGCAGCTCAATATATCCTCCAACAGCTGAATTAGAGCTTTTTGAATTTGGCTGTGGCAGCCATCTTGAATTTTAAAATCTTTTATTTTATTTTTCTTTAGTTATATTTGGCCCCCCTAAATAACACCTTGGCCACCCCTGTAAAAACCTCTAGCTCAGCCTCTGCTTTTATGTAACATTTGGTTTATTTAAATGCTTTTTTTACCATTGAAATTTAGAGTTGCTAAATTCCATTATCTAACCAGTCTAAGACAATTGTTGTCTGACTCTTGTTCTACATCTCATGTTAATATACCTTTCCAAAAAATAAAAACATAAATAAATAAATACCAACAGGAACATTTTAGAAATTGTTGAGCCATCCCTTTACATCTTGACTAGGAAAAACACCTACTTACTCAATTGTTAAAACACCATAAAGAATTAAAAACCAGTAACTGTGATTTTAATGAAGAGATTCCCTCCCAGGAAAACGATTCTTCTAAATGAATTTTTCACATTGGAGGTCAAATCACCACTTTACAATAAGGCTCCCCTTATAGATGGCTTACACTGCAAAAACTGTCCACCTAACCAAGTTTTAAAACCTTATATCCAGACAAAAAGTCTTTTTGATCTTGTTTTGAGACTGATTTACTAAACAAGAACTGATTGTGTAAGAATAATCATCTTGTTTTCAGAATGTGTAAGATTATTTGT